AATAACTTGTAGATGTAATGAACACACTCTGTGGAGAATTTCTTGCTTCTAGGGTCCTAGAAATATTCCTGTCCTAATATTACAATTAGCCATTTCTGCTCATAATCCCAGGTGAAATATAAATTAATGAAAGGAGAACATTCACTGGAATTAATATTAGAATTCTCAAATTTTTAGCATGGAAGTGATGTTTCTAAAATGCATTTGCTCACCTCCCAGGTGCTCCCATAAGAGAGATTATTATCTATATTTTTTTGCAACTAGATGAGCAGGGCTCTCACCTTATCCAGGTAAATCAAGACATGGTTGTTGCTAACTTCTGTCCGGCTCACATGGTTATATCTTTCAAGCTGAGGAAAATTAAGACATCACAAATGTTAATAAATAGATGAAACACCTGGAGTATCCAGAGAAAAAGGATTTTTTATTGTCAAAATAAGCCTGATGATACAATTTTTGTGAGTACTTTTTGTAAATAAAGACATAATGCAGTAAAATTAAAAATGAAAGATAATTTGGATAAAGAGTTTAATATTAGTATGACACATGATCTATATGTAAAGTTGATTTCTCTGAAGAAAAGGGAACTAAATATCTGAAACTTAGGAATTACTCATATTTCAAGATTCAGTTCACATTCTAGTCCTTCATGAAGGAATTTTCTTTTTTTTTTTCTTGCTCTAACTTACAGTAATCTCATTTTTTCCTCAACTCGTAATACTTATAGTTACGTCAATCGAGCATTTTCACTGGTTCCTGTTCATATGCTTTATCTTATTAATAAGATTCTAAGCTCCATGAAAGCAGGAACCTACTGACTTTTTTTCCTAGTACTCATGGCTCCTAGAGAGTTCTGTGCACACGATGGGCACTCATACAAACATGCTAAATTATATTTCTGAGTTTGGAGAAAGTATAAGTCTTTGATAGAGGATGATTTAATAGTATTTGAATATTTGTATTGTTTTAGTCTGGGGATACGTAAAACATTTAAAAAAATTGGATATTCCGGACTTATAATAAACCTACCATTTTCACCGTTGGTTTCAGCGGAATGAAGCCAGATACCATCTTCACATCAGCAATCGCCATGTTGGAGGCAGGACGGCTCCCAGTGTAACTGAGGATCCAGGGGAGGAAGGAATTAGGGTTTTCTGTATTATTAAATATCCTCTTTTTCTCTGTTTACACTAAGCACTCAATAGCTCTAAAAGGTACACTTCAGTCTTCCCAAATATCCTACCCCAGTGGTTTGGAAAACTGGCTGTGTATAGAATTTTTAGGGAGCCTGTTCAAGCCACAGAGACCAGGCCCTACTCTAGACCTGGTGAATCAGGGTTTCAAGTGTGTGGGGCTGACTCCACAAGTGCTGCATGAGCTTGAGATTCTAATCTGTGCCAGTTATTTATTACATAAACTGTATCCTACTGTTCTTCCTGAATAGTATCCTTAACCAAGTTATTCTTGTGGACAGATACTTTTGTGTAAGCCCTGTAGCTATTTGAATATTGCTGCATATAAATGTACTTTTTCCCCCAAATTGATTATATTATATATAACCTGAGATTTATTTATTGCCAATAGGAATTCTAACTAAAGAATTACCACTGTCTTCTGTTAATGCTTTTTAAGAGTTTTTTTTTTTTTCCGAGACAGAGTCTAACTCTGTTGTTGCCTGGGCTAGAGTGCCGTGGCATCAGCCTAGCTCACAGCAACCTCAAACTCCTGGCCTCAAGTGATCCTTCTGCCCCAGCCTCCTGAGTAGCTGGGACTACAGGCATGTACCACCATGCCTGGCTAATTTTTTCTATATATTTTTAGTTGTCCAGCTAATTTCTTTCTATTTTTAGTAGAGACAGCGTCTCGCTCTTGCTCAGGTTGGTCTCGAACTCCTGAGCTCAAACGATCCATCTGCCTCGGCCTCCCAGAGTGCTAGGATTACAGGCATGAGCCACAATGCCTGGCCAAGAGTTCTTGATCTCTGTTCTGAATAAAGCAAGAATAATATGGGATTTCATTACATTAGAAGGAATTCAGGTCAGAGGCAAGGGGTAATATTCTTTATTTAATTATTACTGGGGGGACTCATTACCTTTAAATAATGAGATCCTGGAGGCAGAGGGTAGACAGTGTAAACCACATCATTGAGAAATTCTATTATATCAAGTTAAGAGAATACATTGCTTTTTCAATAAATGTCGTGTAAATATTTACTGTTGGACTGCTTTACTTAATGAGGAGTTCCAGTACGAAGATTGGTTGTTATTCCCAGAATTAGGTGATACAATCAGAAGGTCTTACCTGACTTGCAGTGAGATCTGGAAGCTGGTGTGGGCTTTGGCTCCATCACAAGTCTGGGGTACAGTCTGTACCTCTAAAGCAAATGGGAACTCTTCCTTTTCTGGGACAATATTGAATTTCAAGGATGTCTGTGGAACATTAAAGACAAAGTCTGTTTCTCGCCCTTCCCCAGAATTCCTCTTAAGTTCCTTAGGTCTTTCTCTGACTTGCCCCATTGTTTGCCAAGGTAGGACACATTGGTGAGAACAGGCACTGTCCCCATCTGCTCTCTGCCCTAATCTGCCCAAGAGTCTTACCTGGAGGTAGACACAGCCTTCTCCTGTCACTCTTGTGGTGTATTCCCCAGGTAGCTCTGGCAATGAGACCTGCTGTAGTAACAGGCGGTTGTTGTTGTCCACTTGGAATTTGGTGGAAAATGCCCCAGAAGACTGGACGGTCACCTGTGCAGCCTTGCCAGTCCTGGTAAAAGTGGCTGCTCCATATTTGGACAAAGCATGGAGAGCCACCACTGTGTCCTGGAAGAGATGAATGACAGAACCTATTTTTAGGTATGTAACCCTTTGAGGGCTGAGATAGTTTCCAAAGCCTGACATGAGCTGTCATAAGGGGGCTTTGATTTCCTATTTCCCTCACTACTTAAATATTGGAGCTCTAATCTAAAGATTGATTATAATCTTTGGATAGATGACAGAACTGTAACACTCACATATCTACCTTGGACTATATGCCCTAGACATTTATTTTTACTTGTCAGAAAATTGATTGTTTTCTCCCTATAAATATCTGGATATGGAATATATATGGGAATGGGAATCATTTATTGGCATCAGCTATGTGCCTAAGATGTCTTTCTTGACAACCGTGCTCTTGTCTGCCACCACGCACCCAAAGTGTGGTCTGCATCTCTACCCAGATGAAACTCTGCTCTGCTGCTGAGGGCAGTGCCCTGCGGGAACCTAGCGTTCTTTGCAGCCATGGTCAGGGTCACGCTTCAGTTTCTTCAAGGAAATAAAAGGTGAATATTACAATTATTTTCTTGATTTAATAACATTTTTATCTGGCTCTCCTTTTTTAAATTTTTTATTTTTTGGCTTTCCCTTTTTTGTTGGACTATTTCCTTTCCCCAGTGGATTCCCCTGGTGTGCCATATTCTCAATACTCATCAGCACTGAACCTGGACGACATCCTTCAAGTAATAGATTTCTCAGAAATGAATGGTAATTGTTTTAACAAAATTATTTAGTCTTTCTTCATTTGCATGGAAAAATAAGAGTTTCAATACATTATAAAAAGGAGGGAATGCCATTTTGTCACAGTCTCTTCTCTTTTAGCATGAACATGCCGACACCTAAATTCTCTGAATTCCTGCCGTGCACATATTGATGGGTTGTTTAGATATAAGATTATATAGTTAGGCTTAGGAGGTTGAATGAACAAAGACAGTTCTTTCTCTTTTTTTTTTTTTTTGAGACAGAGTCTCACTGTGTTACCCGGGCTAGAGTGCCGTGGTGTCAGCCTAGCTCACAGCAACCTCACACTCCTGGGCTCAAGCAATCCTACTGCCTCAG